CCTATAGAATGAAATTATAACATCTTTAGACTTGTATTCAATATTTATCTAGATACAACCTAAAATCCTATTTGCCCTACCACTAGCAACAGCACACTGCTTGGATGGCTTTAGAGACTGATCGACTATTACACCAAGATCCCTTTCTTTCATAACAGTTTTAAAGTTATTCTCATCCAAATTGTACTTATAATTCCAATTAGGACAACCCACATGCATTATCTTGCATTTATTATAATTGAAACTCTTTTGCCATTTATTTGCCAAACTCTATAAATGATCTAAATCATTTTGTAAATCAGCAGAATCCTCTTCACAGCTAGGAACACCCAAGACCTTAATATGATCTGCAAAATTTAAGTATTTTATTGACTATTCTTTCATCTATATCATTTCTTCCATCCAGCCACTCTTTTATCCAATTTGCTAACATATCCCCCGCACCTATAAAGACAATTTTTACTAGCATTTTGTGTGGAACCTTGTCAAAGGCTTTCTGAAAATCCAGATACACCAAATCTATACCCTGACCCTCATCTAAGTAAGCAGTAACCTTTTCAAAGAATGTTAAAAGATTTGTAAGGCAAAATTTTCCCTTAGTGAAACCATGTTGACTATCCAATAAAATTCTAAACTTTGTTAAATGACTTTGCAAGCATCTTCTATCAGACTTTCCAAAACTTTTCCCGCAATTGATGTAAGACTAATGAGCCTATATTTTCTGGGAAAATTGTTATCACTTCGCTTGAAAAGAGGAGTTATATTAACTAACTTCCAATCCTCTGTTACCTGCCCACTTTTCAAGAAATGACAAAAAATAGTTGCAAGTGGCTCACATATTCAATCTTTAACCTCGTTTAAAATACTTGGGGAAATATTATCTGGCCCAGGAGCCTTATCGTTCTTTAAACTTCTCAATTTATTCTTAACCAGCTCAGAATTAATGCAGTCATCTTGTTCGATTTTGTTTCCAGTTATTATCTGTTCAAGATGTGGAATACTGCTTACATCTTCGTTAGTAAAAACCGAAGAAAAAGCAAAATTTAATAACCCAGTCATCTCATAATCCCTCAAGGGTCCCACCCCCATCCTAACATTTTGTTTATCCTTGATGTATTTAAAGAAATCCTTACTGTTAATTTTTACATTTTCACCCAACCTTTTCTCATACATTTGCCCCCAGCGGTATGTCTGCGGACTTGCAACACTAGAAACCAGATTTCGATACCCGTGGTGGGCAGAGCACAGATAGCCCATTGTGTAGCTTTGTGCTTAATTACAAACAAACAAACTCATACATCTTTTTTTTGATGTCCTAATTTCCTCTTTCACTAACTTTCTTGATCTTTTATAATCATCTAAATCTATCGTCATACCAGTCAAATTAAATTTCTTAGCCTTTACTTTTTATATCTTATACTTTTTGTGAGCTAACCTGGCTATTTTACTTGCAGCTACCCTTTTCTTTCTATAAGGAATATGTTTACCTTGAATATTTAAAAATTCATTTAAAAATATTTTCCACATCTGATCAGTGTCTCCAAATAACTCAGCTGTCCAATTCAGAACAGATATTTGTTTTCACGTCCCTTCAAAATTTGCTTTTTTGAAATTTGTAACCGAAATATCATTATTTCTTATCTCTATATACAGCAAAACATTGAACCTAGCACAGCAATGATCACTTATACCCAGATGTTTCCCAATTTCCACTCTCTCGATCATTTCTATAGTTGAAGTTAATAAATCTAAAATAGCATTGTTTCTAGTAGGTTCCTTGACCAATTGGTGAAGAAAGCTATCCTGAACAATTTCCAAAAACGTTTCTACCTCATGGTTTGACTCTAGCATGTCCCAATCTATATGCTTGAAATTAAGATCACCCATAATTGTGACTTCATTAGCAGTCTAAATTTTAATATGATTGAACAATTCCTTACTAATTTCATCAGTATCATTTGACAATTTGTAACAAGTTCCAACCAAAAGCCTTTTCCCTTTATATCCACTAGTATACACCAAATGGATTCAATCTCCTGGGTATTACCTTTGATATCCTCAACATCAACAGAATGTAACACACATTTTACATATAAAGCCACTCTTTCCCCTTCTTTAATACTCTATCCCTATTAAGTAGCCTGTGTCCTTGTATTTTATAGAAATTTCTGTCATCAAAATCATCTACATTTAACCATGTTTTAGATATTCCTATTATATCAAAATCATTCATTCCTCTCATTGCTCTGAATCATCTATTTTATTTCTTATACTTCCAGCATTACAATAGTAACAATTAAGCTTATCCTTATAACTAATTCTATACTTATTTCCAATGCTAAACTTTTCTCTGCCTCGTATTATTTTTGTATTTAGATTATCCTGGCCCTCACCACTATCTAGTCTTAATTTAAAACTTCCCTTACACCTGAGTTAATAGCCGTAGAAAACAAGCCGGCCCCATCTTATTTAAATGTAAACCAACTATTCCATAATTTCCCTTCCTCCACTGAACTGATCCCACAAGTCCAACCAGCCAATCTGCTCATCTTTACTTACTAACTTAAGCCTAGCATTTAACCCTAGTGACCAACTTATAAATTTATCCCCACAGTTAATTCTGGGTAGTATCCCTGATAAAATTAAATTATGTCCTTTTTCTTTAAATGTCTTTATCAACCCCTTGTACTTATTAATTAGCTCCTCTAGCCTATCTTTTCCTACATCATTAGCCCATATATGCACCACAAAAACTACATCTCTGCTAGCCCCTTTATCTTATCTCCTGCTCTGTCAGTTATATCCTCCACCTGTGCCCCTGGGGAGCATAATCTGATTGTTTTCTCCCTATTTACCACATGACTATCCTATCCACATGCCTTGTCAAGGAATCACCTATAAGTATAACTACAACCTTATTATCCACATCCTTCTCTGACCCTTTTGTTTTGCTTCCCTCCAATAACTCTTCGTCTACTGAGCCAAGGGCTGAAATTTGTTGCTCAATAGAATAGGTTCATTACAATTAAACTCACTACTTTTAGCTCTAATAGCACTCTTTCTAACTTCCTGAAAGTCATTGTTAGCTGATGTATTCCTTGCATGTAAAAGCTTAAGCTCCTTTTGAAATCCTGCTACCATTTCCCACAGTCTACACTTCTCTTTATCTATCGCCTCTACTATAATTATGATAGCCTCCAACCTATACACTCCGCATAAAAATTGCACGTCTTCATTACTAGCTTCCTTAAAAGTTAAAAGTACATGCCAGTCCCGAGTTCCCGATTAAAACCCACCCATTGCACCCATTACATCTAAGAAACTGTGAACGCTTAATTCCTATACTAGTCTTAACCATTGTATTTATACTTATAGCTTGAAAATAAATACTCAATACCAAATACCAGTAGCTTATTGTCAACACTGTTAAGCCTAACGTTTACGAACCACTTATATTAGTTTTTATCACTAGTTTGTTTTCACACTAAAGTAATAATGAATATCTTTAACTATATAGAACTTAGAAACAGAACTTTATTAGAAGTGACAATAACTACTTAAACTAGTCTTTGATGTATACATAAACGGTAATATTAATAATAAAATGTATTTAGCCTGATTTATAACCTACCTAACTATAGTCTGAATATAAAATAATGGATCTAAGTTCAAGTAAACGAATTAATCGTCAAAACAAAAAAGAAACAATAAACTAGTTTTAGATTGTAATTATTTAATAAAACAATTTATTTAACCTGTTTTACGATTTACCAGTAAGTTGAAATATGACTAAGCCTAAAGTACCGTTACACGTATTAAGCCTATTTTAGCGCTGTAGTAAAATTTACACCATTAAACTCCAATCTAACTACATCTATTTATTCTTGTGTCATTTAACCCTAATTACTACAAATTATAACATTAATATTAAATAATTTTCAGAAAGTTGCCTAAATCGCTATATAGGCGTTTAAGGAGTGAATCAAAATTTCATTATTTCAATGAATTTTTGTGTAAGTAAGTGACTTTTACAGACAAGCGTACAGAAAAAAAAAGACTAATCTTATCGCTCTAATTACTTCACAGAATTCTTCCGCTTGAAGTCCCAATAATTCATTTCTTGTACCAAAGAGGATACTAGTATGTATATATAAAAAGGAAGATATGCTATTTTAGGCATATAATTAGATTTTAGGGTAGGTTAGTAGAGATCCTGATGAGTAGTAAAATTGAATCGGGTATACGCGCGTCCCACGATTGCTATTGCTGGCGCACAAAAATAGACCTATTAATTGTTCAAAATAATTTTTGACGTTAAATTCGGGTTGTAGACGAAGAATCAAATCACAAATTTTCTTTATTAAATAGTACTCTAAATAGTAAAATCGATTCAAGTGGTTCCAAAGCAAATTAAGATATTTTCTACACAGTTTATTAGTGTGTTTAGTTGTTTATAAAAATATATCTACAGTCTTTATGTGTTATATCAGTAGGCGGTCACTCTGAAATTACCATATCTAAAGGTTATTTAAAGAAGCTTTTTTTTGGCGTTTCAACAAAACCATTTCTTCAAAACGTTTATAGCATTGATTTTTACAGTGAAGAATCACAATTTCATTTGCAAAACAACTCATTCACCGAAACTAGTAATTAACATTAGCTTGCTTAACAATAAGAAGCACGTGTTAATTTAATTAAAATGTAAAATATTTCTCTCCTTACTCTTCGTTTATTTATTGTAAAATAATATAACATGTATGTAATTTCTTTTAGCAAGTTTTCAAAACTATCGTATATCTATAAAACTAATATCCAATGGTAAATATAAATTGGTGCTGTTAGCATGTGGGTGAAATCTGCGTGGTTTGTTTATTCTAAAGAGGATTCTGAGAAAGTGTTCCTGAGACTCTTACAGTCGAGACACCAAAATTATATTATGGATTATCTTACAAATATGTATATATGGACAGAAAGAGGGGCGGAGATAAAAACAAATTACTTATAGTCTTTATTGCATGTGTGCACACAATAACAACCTTTCAGAAAAATGTCGATTACGTCACATACAAGACAGGTCATGGGAAGATCAAATACATTTATTTCAAGAACAACCAAAAATCGAATTCCTCAAAATTTTTAACACTAAGAAAAAATTAATTCATTTCCATTAATTTGTTTGTTTCTCATCTATTCTCAACCATGAGACGTAATTTATTCAAGAAACATAGGGAGTTGGGGAGCTTTAGTTATTTGTTTTTTATGGCCGGAGTTTCTTGCTTCAACGAAAGAAAACGTTCCGATGGTTTTCTATTAGTTTCCTTCTTCATTATAGTTCAGATGTGTTAAATCACGAATCTTTTCCATGTCGTTTAGTTTAATGTAGTTGGCTGCAAGACAGATGCCATAGTGTACCTGTAAGATTGAAAACAGTATGTCATGTAGACGTTAATTATTATTTGACTTTACCAAATACTAAATTATTTGTATTTAAACTGCATCAAGCAATGAGTTTACTGTTACATGTTTGTTTATTTGTAATTAAGCACAAAATCATTCACCGCATTTTGAGATCGTGGTTGCGTTACAAGAATGACGGTCACTTAAGTCATTCTATTAGAGTAGCCCAAGAATTGATAGTGGCTGTTGTTAACTAGCTTCATTGCTTCTAGTCTGTGTATAGAATTTGTTGTAATGTATTTATTTTAATATGAACGTTGTTTAGAGTAACTTTATATTTAGAAACATACATAGCTTATACTGTTAGATATGTATTGCGAAACTCCCACCTATTCTACAAAGTTGTAGAAGAGTAAGAATCAAAAGTATATCTATATACGTAAATGCTTTAACCAGTATTGTTACGTAAGACTGAATTGTTCTAGAAAATGTTCCCACGCCTATAAATATAACTAACGCGACGCGCCAGGAGAGTGTCTGCTATTAATTCGCTATAATCAGTGTGCTATAAAATTTCGAAAGCTATAACTGTGATTTTTAGAACACTTATCAACCGGAAACTTAAGATATTTGACCAGGAATATTTATAAATTTCAAACGTTATAAATTGTTTAACTTCAGTGGATTCTCATCAGACATTAGTATTTTTACGAAAACATTATCTAACTTCAAAGGTGGAAAACAGCGTGTGTAGCCAAGGAGACAAAGCTAGCTAGCTTTCCGGCGAATCGTACTTACATCAACTCGCTTATCGTAAACCTTCGATAAGGTATCAAGGAAGTTCCTGACTAGAAATTTTATATTGTTTGTAAGTTTGTGAAACTTTTGTTTATGAATCAGTTTGTAATAACTATT